TCCACCAGACTGTCTAGAATAGTCAGTGGTCGTCATCTATACTCCCATAGATGACTGGTCCCAGTGGTATAATAGTACAATGCATGGCCTCTCACCATTATTTTATTTTCCACAACCCTTCACTACCTAATACAATTTAAATATGATAAAATAATTATACAAGTAAACATATCATATTATTGCATCTAGCATAGATATCAAGAACATAGATAAGATGCACATATAACATTTAATTATCTAAATACTTTGTATCTATGTGTAATATGAAAACAACTATGCACTCACTTGTTAAAAGCGGATGACTTGCGATTTGGTCAGTGCTTCGACCAACACCTTAGCTTTTCTTTTCAAAAGACCTAGATATAAATATCACTAAGTCTTAGTCTTATATTTCTCGCGACTATAATAATGATAGTCTAGATTCCTCAATAATCCCAATGACTACATCAAGATCTATCAAATATGGAATAACCAGGTAAGATCATATCTGAGGTAGGGTCCGTTTGGTATATGGATATTTCTTTAGCTAAAAAGAAATCCATGCTTGTTTTCAAAAACCAAAGATTATCATAACATAAAAAATCATTCTAACATTTAAAAGATGACTCTGATACCACTGAAAGGGTTTTTGTTGCATAAATATATAGTTTTTCACAAAAACCGGCAACAGAAGCTTTAAAATTTCTTATAAATTTCAAGTATGACAACAAAACAAACCATCAAGGATCGTTTTAAAGAGGTTAGAATGATGTTACAACACCCATATGGTGTTTAGAAATAACAACCTTTGTAGCCTTTGGACCCTCTTGGATTTGGGGTGTTGAAGTAAATGGCAAGAACAAGAAGCTCTCTACAAGTAATCCACCAACAAGAATAAGGTACCAAAATTGCTAGATTTCTTCTTGTACAAATTTGTTCTTTAAGCCTTAAGTGCTCAACCAATTAAGCACTAAAGGAAGACACAAAGTGAACACCAAAAGCAAGTAATGTCTTCAAAAGAGGAGAGAGCTCCAAGCTCCTAAGTGCTTACGGTATTTAGAGAGAAAAGAGAAGAAGTGCAAGACTAAAAAACTTCATATTTTCCATGTATAAGACCCTCTTTATATATCCCATGCAAGTATGGCCTCTTGAATATAATATTCTAAAGTATGGGCTATAAAGGAGAGGTATATGGAGCAAGATGATGGAGGTTGACAAATAACCTCCATCCTCCACATACTTTCGGCCATAGGGCCTAAAGAGGACAAAAAATGGTCACTAGTCATTTTAACCATGGTAGAGTAAGCCTTTGATTTAATCATGGTTAACCAAAGTGTCTAAAACTTTGTACATGACTTATTATATGATACCTTATCATACAAATACTATTTTTTTTCTTACAATATTGTTTTCATAGAACAATAATTTTTCTTTAATTAAATACAAGAGTTGGATTTATTTATTAATATCAAATACTTAATAAATATTCAATAAGTACCAACTTGATTAAGGTGTGACCCTATAGGATCATATATCATTAGCAATGTTATTCAATAATGATTCTTGAGCATATAGGTTCAACATACCAAATGCAAGGCATCAATGAGGCCATGTAGGAAGCAGAGCGTTGGCCAGATTTCACCCTTATAAATAGAAATCCACCCCTCCCTTATTCTTTGCTAATTTCGTCTCTCTCTCTCTCTATCTCTCTCTCTCTCTCTATCCCTCGAGATCTCAATCCCCCATGATTTGATTTCTCATTCTCGAGTGTTGTTAGCAAAGCTCTAAAGCGTTGGAAGGAACTAACAAGAAAAGGATTAAGTGTCGAGGTTACGCTCGTCATTTTCCGAGTCATTCGGTATGAGTAAGTTACACTTTTGCTTAAGTAAAACTTGATATAGAGCATATTCATTGTTGTTATTATGAAAGTATAAATGTGATTAATGAAGGATCTAGTTATTTGTTACTAGATTCCATAGTTATTAATTAGAAATAATATTATATGTTAATACATGCTTGGCATGCCTGCTCGCCAATTGAACCACAATTAGTCGTTCAAGTAATTTGATCAAGTAAGTTACACTAACTCATTTATTATGTTAGCTATATCTGTTTATGTGATGATCATGAGTGACCCTGAAAGGGGAAATGATAAAGGTTACGGATGATCATGAGTTACCTTCTACAGGGAAGTGATCAGTATGTCGTAAGTAACCCTATAAGGGACAGTGACTAGGGATGAGCATAACCGGGTACCCGCCTATTTTAGCTGGAACCGGAACCGCTCCCGGAACTGGCGGTTCTTAAGTTATTGGAACCGGAACCGGAACCGCCTACACCGGTTTCTTGAAAATTGGAACCGCTCCCGGAACCGTCGGAACCGGTTCCGGTTCCGGGTACCCGACTTTTTAAATATAAAACTTTTTATTTATAAATTATAGAGTACATGGCATGGATATTAACGTTTACAAACATCAGAAGTAGAAGATATGAAAATAAAACAATTATAAAAACTTGATCTTTTACATAACCACCTATTAAACTTTAAAAACACTTCCCACAATTAAAAAACATCACAGAAAACATTTCCCATCATGTGAAATTTAATAAGTAGAGATGACAAAAATGACAAATTACAAACAATAAACATAAAACAGCAACAAAAAAAACAACACATCCAAAACAACATAGCCTTGAATTGGATCCATTGATCTTGTCAGCTCATCTGTCGAGAACGGTATGCTGCATGGATATAACATAAGATTTAGTATGTGATTGGTAAGATTCCTGTAAAGTTATATAGAAGAAAACCATCAGAAGTTAATGAAAATGGTAATCCATTCAAGACTTATCAATCATATACCAGACATAAACCCTCAAAGACGCTTGATTATTTGTGTTTAGTTAAATCAATTAAAACTGAATGGATATAACATAAGATTTAGTATGTGATTCACAAATCTTTTTGCTGAGGTTTACAATTTTTCATATATTGGAACATTAGAATGGTTCATTTGAAAAGCAAAAAAAGATAGAAATTGGATATTATGACATGACTTCTTGGATAAAAAGATAAACTAATGTTAGATTTAATACAAAAATCAATTGACATACCATCACTAGTGAGACACTAGAATTTGTCCACCAGAAAGCAGATATTAAACCAATTTTTAAACCAAATAATTTAAACATTAACATCATATTAACAAACCTGATGTATGTTCACTCTGGTTACACGCATATGCCTAGTTAACTTTTAATAAGCTGCCCAAACCTGCAATTTTAAGTTGTCAAAGCGAATTTGTAAGGACTTATAACAAGAATAAAATATATTTTTATAATGACTAATAACAAGAAACCTGCTGGTCTGTTGGTATGTGGGTGTTCCAAGCAACCTGCATAATTCCATCCTTGAGAGTGCACCTCCACTTACTCTTGGCTCGCACCTGCCAACCAGTTTCATCATAACGCATTGGAGGCTTGGATAATCAACCGTATGTTGATTCGGTAGAGCCTGCAGACATCAAACGTATTTAATTTGCGATTAGGAGTGAATCGATATTCACAAATGGAAATTAACAAAAAAAAAAAATTTAACAGATGGAAATCGAGATTCAACCTAAAGAGTCGACAAATTAGCAAAAAAATCAACAAAAAATAGAAATTAACAGTCTAATAATCTAATCGAGATTCGCAGATGGAGGTTTAACAACCTAAGAAATCGATAATCGAGATATCCAATTTCACAGTCAACAGATACAATCATGTTTGAGAGTTACGACTGAGAATCTGACCTTGAAGATGAAAGAGACGAGGGAGAACGTAAGTAGGGATGATCGGAGCGATGTGGTCCACTTTGAAGTGCCGACTGAGAGACAGAGAGACGAGGGAGACGAGTGAATTTCAAGTCCTGGAACAGATTGAAGTGTCGACCGAAGCTTGAAGCTTGGATTGAACAGAACGATGACTGGAGTCTGGAGCGATTGAAGCTTCGATTAACCAAAGGATGGGTTTGAGAGGGGAGAGAGGAGAGTGACGAGAAAAGAAGACGACGTTTTTTTGGAATGAAAATCATAAACCCTAAAAACGCATTTGGTCTAAAGGTAATCAATATAAGTTCTTTTACCCTAATTTTTTAAAACAAAGGCACCAAAATATAAAAATTAAATATATTTTTTTTTATAAAAAGGCGTGTACCCATCAGTACCGGTTCCGGGTAACCGCCGGTTCCGGGTACCCGGTATTGGAACCGGAACCGACGGTTATCCAGCGGGTATCGGTTTCGTAAAAATGAGAATTGGAACCGGAATCGCTTAAGGCGGTTCCTAGACTTTAGGAACCGGAACCGGAACCGCCTAAGGCAGTTCCAGTTCCAGAACCGGCAGTTCCGAGGCGGTTCCGGTTCCGAAAGTAGGTACCCGCTTCCGCTGCTCATCCCTAAAGATGATGTATAAATGCTCTTGCATGAGAGTGACTCGTGAATCCGATTATGTCTCGCGGATACATGAAGTTAAAATGGTTAGACGGGTCGTATTTATGTTGAACCAGACGACATGTTTAATCATACGTGTCGTATCCAAATCATATTTTATGATCTTTTAACCCGTAACCCACCAACCAAACACGACATGATTGACACACATACATATATATATATATATATATATATATATATATATATATATATATATATATATTCCATTTGTTAATATATTATTCCCCACAACACACAACCCCACCCCTTCTTTCTCATCTCATCTGTCAGTAGACCCAAAATTTTGAATTAAAAATCCCCACCTCCCTAAAACACTCTCTCTTCATGGCGGCCAATTAACCCTTTATCAATTAATTCAATATTTATTCACACGCCGAGCTGTAGGCCGTATATATACACACAGACACCAATAGCCAATTTTTATAAAGTTGTCGGTGCTTTTGGATTTATCTTTTCGTCTTCCGATTACCCATTTTCTCTATTCCCTCTACTCTTTTTCTTTTTCCAATCGGTGGAACAGAGATCGATGGAGGCGAGAGGAGGAGGAGGGCCGTGTAATTCTTCAACCGGCAAGAAGAAGACCGATCAGAAGTCGTACAAGGGGATACGGATGAGGAAGTGGGGGAAGTGGGTGGCGGAGATTAGGGAGCCGAATAAGCGGTCGAGAATTTGGCTAGGTTCTTATTCTACGCCGGTTGCTGCAGCCCGAGCGTACGACACCGCCGTGTATTACCTCCGTGGGCCATCGGCGAGGCTGAATTTCCCGGAATTATTGGCGTCCGATGGGCTGCTGGGTGAGTTATCTGCGGCGTCGATTCGGAAAAAAGCGATAGAAGTTGGGGCGAGAGTGGATGCAGAGACGAGTTGTAAGTCGTTGCATATGAGTGGTACGCAGGAACCGGCTTTTGAACTGAAGCCGTGTAGTTGTGGGTTTCAGGAGAAACCCGACTTGAACAAAGAACCCGAACCCGAAGACCCAGATGGGGATTATTCGTGAGGGGTATAACTGTCGGGGTAATTTAGTAATTTGCAGTATGAAGTCCCTTTTATTTTCCTTTGTTTTAGTTTTCTCTCATGTATTATCTATTTCTATCTTGGAAACAGATGAAACAAGTTTTGATGTTTACAAGGAAAATATTGTATATATATTTTTTCTCGTTCTTGTTTTTTGCTATTTTCTTTGCGTTCCATTAATACTAATATTAATTTTGGCTTAGTTTTCCAAAAAATTAAACTAAGATATCCTTTTATCAGCAAATAAAACATAAGTTTTTAATCATTTAATATTACATATTTATTATTTTTATAAGTTAAAATGTCACATAAATACTAAAAATATCGTAATTTTTATTAAATCAAATAGAATAAATTAAGAAGTACGAAATTATTCTGTAACATTATTCAAATTCACCTCCAACCTTCGTATATGACGTTTAACACATAAATTATTTTGTAACATCATTCAAATTCGAACTTATGATAGGATTAAATGCTTAATAATAAATGATGATAATACGAGCTCAAATCTAACCCAATATAGTGATATACCCGTTGTTGTGATTTTTCTTCATTTGATTGCACATGACAAATTATAATCTATGTTGTAATATTTTAATAACATCAATTTGTATGCCCAAATTTGATTATGAGGAATGAATGGATGATTCTCAATTATTTAAGGTTTCAATAATTTCCATAATGTTCTCATATTGACCCTCGACTTAGGTTTTTTACCTAATATGGGCTGCGAAAAAGAGATCTGAAGAGGCATGGAGACGGTCGAGTTGGATGGTTTAGCTAGGATTCTCGCCAACATCAAGCTTTCGGCCGTGTCTGATTCTTGGATGTGGAAGACTGAATGGTCAGGGATTTTTCTGTTTGATCATTGCGATTGCTAATGGGGGATAAACAGGAAGATGTGAGCTTAATTAGTTCGAGGTTTTACTTGACTTAGATGGGTGTCGATCTTCATGTGGAGGCTGCTTACTTGTCACAAAAATATGTATTTTTCAAATTATCACAAACGTAAATTATTAACTTCAATAAGTTAAGATCTATTCTTCAATATAATGGACCGTCTTTTTTTCTTAAGACTGAAATAAAGGATTTTTTTGGAAAACAAGGCATATTTTATTCCGAATTAAGATAGGATTCCAGTGGCTACCAGTTTAAAGGCGTGTGGTATTATTTTAGACTATTGTCTGTCCGATTTGTGGTAGAGAGGAGGAAGATACAGAGCATATATACTTTTATACGTTTTTTGCTGATCAAGTTTGGAGGTGGTTCGGTTGACTTTATTCCTAACAATAACATTGTTCTTCTTAATACCTTGATTGTGTCGAAACATGATAAGAAAAGAAGAAAGATTTGTTTGACTTTAATCTATTCGGTGGCGTGGATCATTTGGAAGGCTCGAAATGATTTGATTTTCAAGAGGAAAAGATGATCTCTTTTAAAAGCGGCGGATGAAATTCAATTAATTGCATTTAACTAGATTAAACATAGACCTCCTTTTAATTATGTTTCATGGATTGATTAGTGTAGATATGGATGGGTATTCGGTTTGGTTTTTCGGTTAAATCGGTTTAGTTTTCTTGATTTTTTTATTTTTTAAATCTAACCATAATCAAACCAAATAAGGTTCGGTTTAAATGGTTTTGGTTTGTTCGGTGACGGTTTATTCGGTTCGGTTAAACGGTTAAACCGAATACAATTTCGCATGTAAAAATAAATATTGAATTAAATGGAAAAAACACTTACCAACTATTACCAAATAAAGAAAATACATTAATATATAATATATTATATTCAATCTTTTATGATGTGGTCAGGCTCGACCCAATAGGGGGGCAAGTTGGGCGACGGACCTGGGCCTTGCCCCAAAATTAATTCGTATTTGATATTATATATATATTATTTGTTAAAAAATATACAGTGATTTCGGTAGTTGAGTTGGTCAAATGGCGTTGAATTAAGCCGCCTTGCTTACTGATTGGTCCATGTTCGAACGCTGTTATATGATCGTTTTTCTTTAATTACCTTTCTATTATTGCTTTTTATATAAATTGAATTTGGAGGACGCTTCTTAAAATACTTCTTTTTTATCATAAATAAACGTTTTACCCACATGTAATCCAAATTTACAAAAATAGCCCCTATTTTTTTTATTATTGTTCATAAATTATCCAAATCAAAGAAAGGGTCCTTTTTTCTTTTTGTTTTCTCGACACACCATCTAAACATTCATTTTTTTAAAATTTGGGTGTTTTTCTTTATAGCCAATACCATGCATAGTTCTCATGTTTATATATATATATGAGATTTTCTATCTCGTCTTTTAATATATAATAATTATTTTATTATAGATTTGTTAACAAAAATCATGGTAACCTACCGGTTAGATGTGTCAATCTTCAAGTTTATTTTTCTATGGCTAATATTACGACTGTTCGGGTTCTTTTTTTTTTTTGTCATTGGTTTTTTGAACTCACATCCTTTATATATATATATATATATATATATATATATATATATAGAGAGAGAGAGAGAGAGAGAGAGAGAGATAGGTTCATTTGTTTAAAGTAATTATTGTGTTATTGTATGCATAAATATGGGTCAATTAAAATTTAAAATAAAAACAAATAATTAAATAAATAAATAAGGGTAAATAGGTAATTTGATAATTAGTTTCCACAAATAATATCCTACAATTATGGCAACCATACCTAGGTTTTCTCCATCCATCGGCTTTTTAAAACCACCTAAAGTGAACAAGATCATTCGTTGACGTTTTCCTTCCGGGCTCGATGAGTGTCCGCCTCTGTTACCTGCTGCGACGCTATTGCTGCTACCAGTGCCTTCTTCGTTTGAACCAGATGAATCAGACAAGCCATTGAATCCATCATGTCAACACAAGGTGATGATCTCGATCTTCTTCTTTCCCTTCAAGACAGGGTGCTGGTAACCCCTCCTTCTTCTCCTTCGCCCCATTCACCTGGTAATCTAAGTAGTAGGTTAATTATGTAAGTAACTAATCAGATTGTTCATCAACAAAATGTTTATAATATGTAGGAAAGGAAATATTTCCAGATGTTGGTTATAAATCCTCGATTCTTCTGCATTGCTTTCGTTTTGACATTCTTCAGTGCACTCGGGATATACATCCTTAATCTGCTCATAGGATTTCTATCTCCTCAGGTTGATCCGGAATTCCAAGACCTTCCCGATGGCCCTACTCTTCCCTCTCGGAGCTCCGACGAGTTCTGCCCTTTTTTTCGTCGTCTTCCCGAGTTTAAGTTTTGGTAATTACTGTTTCTACTCTAAATTCGATTTTCTAATTCCTGATTTCAATTGCAATATTAACTCAGCGATCAACTGATTTAGTTACTTTAGATTTAGATATTAGATCAAATAGGATCACGTAATGAATTTAGGGATCAACAACCCAACAACACACGCAAATTGATAGCCAGACGAACTGGATTGTTGATTTGCAACATAATCTAGGGTTAGCAATCAGGATGTCTATGCTGTTAATTACTAACCAATTAACCATCATTCTTTAAATCCACCAGTTAAATAATTCTGTTACTATTGATAATACTGATCTAATTACTCAATTGTACTTGATAAAATATCTGTTACATCTCAAGCAAGTTGCTAAATATGTACAATACACCAATATTATGCAGATACAAATGACATTCTTCTTAAAAAGCTAACCCTGTTACCCAACATTCCAGTCTTTTTTGTTAAGCCTTAACAATGAAATCACCATATGTCAATCTTGTTTTCATTGATGACAGGTACTCGATAACAAAAGCCTTCTGCATTGCTTTCGGTTTCATCAGATTGGTGGTTATAAATCTTGGGTTTGTCATTGGTCCTCTCTTACAGCCAATTCTCAACACCACTTCTGAGTGGGTTATGGGATTGATTGTAACTGGTAATTGTCTACTACAACTAAAAATCAATTCATCGGATTTGTATAATTAATTTAGTGCATGCTCAAATCTTTATAATATGTAGGAAATGAAATATTTCCACATGGAATTTATAGACTTGTTGATGTGAGAGATGCAATATCATTCTCATTAAATTGTTTTTTACTTTGGATATTTTTCCAACAGAATGCATACCGTAACTGAATCTTGAATTCCAATTCTATCAGAATGGAATCACGAATTCCAATTCTGTTGGAATGGAATATGGATATTTTCTAACGAATTTATGCATTGGATTTGTTTCCACAGAAGCAGCTGATGCTTGAAGAATGGACCATGAAATTGAGAGTGATTCTTAGCAACATTATTCTTTTAGAATGTATTAGTGTCTTTGTTAGATTTTGATGTTTTTTTTTCCTATTTAAAAGTTTTTTTAGTTTTATTCTTTAACAATAAATGTAATTCTTAGCAATTGTTACCTGTATTCTATAAGAATTAATGTAATTTTTGTTTTTATTCTTCAATTGATGGTTCAAGGATTTGTTATTCTCCAAGAAGTTTTTAAAGTTATGATCAAGAAATAGGTTCAAAAAATATTTTTATTATTTTATAGTTCAAGAATATTTTTATTTTTGATAAATATATTCTGTCAGAATATCCAAGAATTATTATCACTACAATCAGATTTTTAAAATTAATAGAATCTATTATCCCTTAAAATATGCAATTTCCTTTTTTAAATTTATGTTAATTGACTAAAATACCCTTAAAATGAAATTAGATGGTATTTTCTAATTATCTTTAATTTAATAATATGTATTATTCACTTTCTTAAAATAAGTAAAATTGATTGGTCCACATTTATGCATACAATAACACAATAATTACTTTGAATAGAATAACCTAAGCCTCTATATAATATATATATATATATATATATATATATATATATATATATATATATATATATATATATATATATATATATATATATATATATATATATATATTCGTCTCCATAGACATCATAATATTATCGTTTCCGAGTACTAAA